CCCCTTTACTTCCCATCTCCTCCTGCCACTGGTCCTCCCCCCTTTACTTCTCATCTCCTCCTGCCACTGGTCCTCCCCCCTTTACTTCTCATCTCCTCCTGCCACTGGTCCTCCCCCCTTTACTTCTCATCTCCTCCTACTCCCTTACCAGACTATACTTGTGTTTGATTGTTCATATGAGCGTGGAATTATTTATATATTGGTTCCATATTAGTATTGAGTATGTTGAGTATTTATTTTTCCATTCTTGAGATACTTTACTAAGAAGAATGTGTTTCAACTCCATCTATGTAAACATAAAAGATGTAAAGTCTCCATCTTTTTTTATGGCTGAATAGCATTCCATGGTATACATATGCCACAACACAAATGTTCAGATTTTGAGGGAAAAGTATAATATTTTCTTTGGTATAATTTGGAACTTGCTTTTTTCTCCTTTTGGGTTCTGGAAGACTCTTCTATAGAGTATTTTTCAACCTTTTTTATCTCATGGCACACTTGAACCTATAGTTAAACTTCCATGGCACACTTAAATTATGTTGATTAAAAAAAAGGAGTAAAAAGAAATACTATACTTACTGTGCTTTGAATTTCTTTTGAAAATAATTAATGATACTTAAAAATTTTTGTAGCACACTGGTTGAAAATCACTGGTCCATGGTCTTATATCTCTTATTCCCACAACTGGAATTGGATCTTTACTGCAATCCTAAATGGAAGCTTTACTGTTGGTACTAGTGGTAGGTATAGTGATAGCATTCACAGTGTAATGGAGTTAGAGACAGGGTTTGCACTACTGCTAAGGCTGCTGCGGCTCCCCTGCTGTAGTTTGAAAGACTTTATCCTGGATTAATTAATGTGCCATCCATAGCAGGAAACTTTTAGCCCAAAAGGTTTCAGCTCTATTTTATTATTTTGGATTCTGGAAGTATTAAATGAGTTCTTTTAAAGTTGTCTGGGACAAGAAGCTTTTTTTTTTTTTTTTTTTTGAGACAATGTTACTATGTTGCCCTCGGTAGAGTGCCATGGTGTCATAGCTCACAGCAACCTCAAGCTCTTGGGCTCAAATGATTCTCTTGCCTCAGCCTCCTGAGTAGCTGGGACTATAGGTGTCTACCCCAATGCCTGGCTATTTTTAGAGACAAGGGTCTTGCTCTTGCTCAGGCTAGTCTTGAACCTGTGAGCTCAGGCTGTTCACCTGCCTCAGCCTCCCAGAATGCTAGGATTATAGATGTGAGCCACTGTGCTCGATGAGAAGGAATTTTTTTGCAAAAATGATGTAATACTATGTATTTAGGACAGCTTCATATTGTTTTAGGATTTCTTTATCAGCATGTTTTTGTTTTTATTCTTTCTCTACTTTTACTGTTTGATATATCTGAAAGCATTCCCTGATGACATGAGGCCAAAGCAGACGTTAACTATTGCTAGATTGGATGTGCTTTGTAGCTATTGTATCTTTAAAAGAAAAAGAAATCCTATCATCACAGCTTGAGACTTGCAAAAAATCTTACGTTCTGGGAAAATTATCTAACAAAAGGCAAAGTTTAAGAGTAGTGACAGGATGAATTATTTCTTTAGTTTTTGTTATTGTTATATAAGAATCATATCAAACATAAAATCCCAGGTGGCCCCTGTGGCTCAGTAAGTAGGGTGCCAGCCCTACATACCAAGGGTGGTGGGTTCAAACGCAGCCCTGGCCAAACTGCAACAAAAAATAGCCAGGCGTTGTGGCGGATGCCTGTGGTCCTAGCTACTAGGGAGGCTGAGGCAGGAGAATTGCCTAAGCCTGGGAATTGGAGGTTGCTGTGAGCTGTGTAACACCATGGCACTCTACCCAGGGGGTGATAAAGTGAGACTCTGTCTCTACAAACAAACAAACAAACAACCAAAAATCCCATAAAATCCCAAAGTAATAATGAAGTTGGGATTAGAGCTCTCATTCTACTTGCTTTGGTTGTCAGGAATAATCATATTCTAGTGGTTAGGTGTGTAAAGAAGGATGTTTGACAATCAAGCTTGTGATCTGAGAGGTGCGGATGAGATAGTTGATAGGATCAGGAGCAGAAGAAATGCACAATGAAACACCCCAAGCTGCTTATAGAAGGTAAAAATTAGTCCCACTCTGTTTGTTGTGAAGGCCGCTTTCTCAGTGGCAGAACCCTGAGTCCTGCCTATGCAAGTTTAGTTACAATAAAAAGGTAGCATGTTTGTGAAACACTTCCTGTCTGCTCTAAACATAAGTATTTTCTTCTTTTCCCGGGAAGGAAAACTAGAACTTATATTTTTTTCCTAGTAACCTTTTATTAGGAGCATTCTGCATGTATTAAAACTTTAGGGTGACGGCGGAGAGTAGTAAATTTTCCCTTGTCCTCATTCTGTAGAGGTATAGGATGGGGTACTCTCCTTAGAATGAGCAACTGGGCCCAGAACATGAGTGTAAGTCTGTGGATTTATTGTCATCTGTTATTCTAAAGCAGTTTTTCAAGTACCTGGAAGTACTACCAGGTATGAAAGCATAGCTACTAGGAAGTAGCATGACGTGGACTTTTTCAAGTAGGTTTGAATTACAAGTTCATTACTTAACTGTTGTCACTTTTTGCCAATGGGAAGCTCACACAATCACTTTGTACTGTTTTTTTATCTGTAATACACAAAGAAATAGTTACCCTAAAGCATTGTGGGAATTGAGTGAGTTAATGTGTGGTAATTGCCACAGTTGTCAACACAGGCATTTAAAAAAAAGTAATCCTTTTGCCCTTCTTTGCCTGGCTGATCTTGCCTATAGATTGACAAAAGAAATTGTAAACTGAAAAGTTGGTGACTTTCATTAGCTACTGGGTATTTACCTGGACTTTTCATACCTTGGAAGCCTTTGGCGTGGGATCCTTTTTATTACAAAACCTTTTCTACTTAAGTTTTAGCTAATGAACTTAAAATAAATGGGGCAGAGTTTTGTGCTGTAACCTGTGTCTTAGCTCACCCGAACACCAATGGTTGTTATTAATAGTAATGGTTCTTTGAAAACTGTCATAGACAAAAAGATTTACAAGGTTAGGCTAGACTGCAGTAATTTAAAACTCTAAGTCGAAGTGGCGTAACATGACAAAGGTTATGCCTCCCTCATGCCGCCTGTCCAGGGCATCCTGCGTGGGACTCTGCATACTGTAGTCACTGAGGCACTTGGCCTGGGGAAAGCGCTATCCAGGCACATCATTCCACTGTCATCAGGGACAGTAGCGAATCCAATACTAGTTTTAATACTTCTGCCAAACGTGGAACATATTGTGCTCACATTTCATTAACCAAAGCCAGTTATATGGTCACGCGTAACTTCAAAGGGGGTTAGAAAATGCAATCTGATTATGTATTGTGAAAGAAGACTGGCGTCTTCGTGAACAGCCCCAGGGATCTAATCCTGATCTATCTCCAAAATTCATTCTCTTGTTACCTCACTAAATTGATAGAATCTTATCTTTAGGATGTAAAAGTTGGAAGCCCTTGAATATTAATTTTCTCCTAAATGTAAATTTTATGACATTAAATATCGGTGGTATCTTCAGTTGTCTCAGTCCATATGTATTTCTAGGTATTTTTCCCAGGTGCGATGTTTCAGAATCCGGTCAGTATACTCGGCTGACTCTGTAAAGTGGGCAGTCATAGATCATTATTTCTTAATTTCCTTTCTTGTTTTCTTCATTAAAATAAATTAAGAGAACATACCTAAGGAGATTTCTGTATATAATATTATACAGAGCCTTTTGAAGAGGTTTATCTTTTTTTTTTAATTGCTGTATATCATTTAGGAATTGTGTTTGACTACATGTAACAGAGCCCTTACTGTAGTGTTTAGATCTCATAGGGGTTTCTTCTTCTCCTTTAAATAAGTCATGTGGACACAGACAGTCCAGGGTTGAGAGACCGCAGCTTGAAAGGGACATCAGGGACCCCCATTTCTTCTGTCTTTTTCTCCATCATCTTGTGTATTTGACTTTCATCTTCATGTTTTTTGTAGTGACATGCTGGTTGACCCATCTCCAACAATCACGTTACAAGCGGGAAGAAAGGACGAAAGGCCTATTCCTACTAAGTCTGTCCCCTTTTAGAGTATCTTGGAAAGCCTTACCCACCACTTCTTACAGCTCATTGGATAGACAGTGTCATTAGTCTATATAATGTTACTGGCTGGACTTGTTGTGTCCTTCAATAACATTTGGATTCTTTTAATAAGGAAGGAAAGAATGAATATGGAGATGCAACTACTAGTGACTGCCACAGTTCATAAGAGTTTATTATAAATAAAAGTTATCGAAGATGTAAGTTATATTAAGTGGGGGAGTAAATTTTCACATAGACATTGTGAAAAATTTGAATCTGTTCATCTGTTGTGCTCCTTTAATAGTCTGCTTAGTTGTAATTCTGTGCTTTTATCATTTAAAAGCTTTAGATCAGGGATCTCAGGCCCAAGGAAAAAATCTGACTCAAAATGTGTTTAAAACACTGGCATTGTGTTACTGCCTTTTTTGTTTGAGATGCTCTTTCACTCTGTTGCCCAGGCTAAGGTGCCATGAAGTGAGCCTGCACACAGCAACCTCAGACTCCTAGACTCAAGCGATCCTCCTGTCTCAAGTCTCTCAAGTAGTTGAGACTACAGATGCCTGCCACAGCGCCTATCAAATTGTTTTTCTATTTTTGATAGAGATGACATCTCATTCTCACTCAGGCTGGTTTTGAACTCCTGAGCTCAGGCTATCTTCCTGCCTTGATGTCTCAGAGTGCTAGGATTACAGGCATGACCCAGAGTTGGGTGCCTGGCATGTTTTTTCAATTGGAATAACTTTAGGTAGGGCATGAACTCCGTCTGTATTACAGCATCAACTATTCTGTTAGCTTATAGGTCCATCCAGTTTACATATTTACATTACATGGTTGGCCCTATAGATATGTGAATGTAGACAGGCACATGAGATCTAGTTTGTGTGTGGCCCGTGGACTAGTGTGAGAGAAGGACTTACCCATTGTTTCCATCATCTGTTGTTATCAGATGACAGTAAGCTTGCATCAATTTGTGATTGAAACTGAATTAACTAATTTGGTGTGCTTATCTTTGGGTCTAAAGGTTTCTGTTAGACTGCTTGTTTCAGATTAAATTATTGTAATGGCATCAGTTATTTGTGGTGTTTGGATAAGTTAATATATGAAAATAAGTTCAAATTTTATTGCCTATATGGAAAATCGGTAATCAAGTCTTAAAAAAATACATATTATATATAAGCTTCCTGTGGAAGGGGAAGTATTTGTGCCTGTTTACTGGAATTCCTTAGTGTGGTATGTAAGCTATGAATTTAAAGATATTATTTATCTAGAAATAATTATTTGCGCGTCTATTATTTTTCATAGTTAAAAGACAATAAACAGAAACATAGTAACGGCTGTTTCTGAAGGTGAAGTGTAGATAGAATATCATGATTTGTCACAGATGACCTTTTTTAGTGTCTCTTTTTTTCTTAACAGACTTTGCTTCGCCCTCTTCGAGCTTTATGTTCTTTCCAGCTCCAGCATGGTGCTCAAATACGCCTCAGCAAGGAACACCTTCTGAAAAATGGATTATATCCTAAGCCATTGCCAAAGAACAAACGTAAACTCAGGAAAATGGAACTGTTAATGAATAGCATTAAAATTTAGTACAGTTGTTCTTATGGTGCTAGTTGACCTGATTTCATCTGACAGTACCCAGTTAAGTGTTCATTCGGTTTAGGTCTAAGGGGTTTTGACTCTCTAAAGAAGAGCGAGAGTTATTTACTAATCTTGCTTAGAAGAAAGAAGTAAACCAAATAGCCATCAAAATAACAATAAAAAACTTCACTGACTCCGCAAAAAGATGTCATACTGTATTTGTTTTTAAAAATGTGCCTCTAAGACATTTTTTCCAAATCCGTGAATTAAAATACGATTAGTTGTTGAGCCAGGTTAGAGGTTTTTACTATAAAATGAAAGGAAGTTGTTGTCCTAATTGGAACAGTATTGTTTCTGTTAATGTTTATAGATTATTAGGTATGGAGCAATAATAGACCTATGTTAATTTACAATCACGTACCTGAACTTTATAGTTTAAGCAGCAAAAGAAAATGGTTTAGATTCAACTTATGTGTTTTATAAAATAGTATAAAAGAATAAGGAAACTGTAAGTATCCTTTAGGGGCTAAACTTGACCTTAGCTAATGTGATTTAAGTTTCTGTTGATTTCCATAATTTTTAAAGAGGTGCATGTAATTTTGAAATTACATACATTTTAATTTGTAATCAGTCTGGATAAGTTTTGATTTTTTGTTCTATTCATCTGTATAAGTTTTTTGAGTATTCATTGAACAGTTTATTGATTGTAGTCAACTGCTTTTATTGAACTTTTTATGTAGAAAATAAGTAAAATATAATACAGCTGTTATTTTGAGAACATATTTCTGTAAGTAGTCCTATTTAATTTAAATCTTTTTAATGGGAAAAAACTTTTAATTTGAGAGCACAAATTCCCCGTGCACAGTGGGGAACATATTTACTAAGATTTTGTACTAAATAAGAAACATGTATGTAATGTATATTTATATCCAACTTAAAACGACTGCAGTTATATGCAAATTTTCATAAGAAATGGGGACTTTGTTTTGGTCTTTGTTATGATTTCTAGAGTTTCCTGTTTTTGGTGTTAAGTTGTAAGGAAAAGCTAAACATTTAGCTTAAATGTTAAGTTGTAAGGAAAAGTGTTCGTATGTAAGCTTGATAAAATGTTTGTATATAAGTGAGAAACTTGAGCATACACCAGAGGTTGTTTTTGACAGTTCTTATGTTTCTGTATTTGTTTACTGTTGCCTTTGATTAGACTTTTATTAAAAAGCTATAATGCTGGTCACAATAAAAATGATAATATTTGGGGAAACTATGCAGGAAATATTTTAAAATATTAAAAGTTAGATTCTTATCTTTTATTGTTGACTAATTTTTGGATTTAACAACAATTGAGCAGATTTGTAATCTAAAATACCTAATATCAAATGATTATTTGGTATAATAGAGAAGATATAATAGTAATAATGTGTAGTGGTTTCTTAACAGATGAGCTAAAATCATCTCAAGGTATTTGTTTTCACTTTAAATTAAACTGTATAAATTTCCCTTAGTCGTTATGATTATTTTAAAAAGAATATTCCTACATAAGACACCATTTATATCTCAACATTTTATTTTAATATGAGTTGATTTTTTCGAGAATAAGTTTTATTTTTATCTTTTGAATAAAATATTTTAGAGTATTTTTAAATACTTTAAAAGCTTAAAATTTAGTGTTTTTGGAAATATATAAAATTAAGGAAGTCTGTATAAACTTTTCTAAATTATTTTACTAACCTCCAAACTTACATACTTTTTACTTTGTTATCTATTTTTTACTGACGTCTCAAAGGGATTTTATTTAATCTTTTTCAGTACATAGTGCTTCTCTAATCATTCATTTTCATTACACAGTTTTAAGTAAGTTTTAAAAACTATTATTACTATTTTCATTATAAAAGTTTCTCAAAGTGGTATTATGTATTTTAACTGAATATTTAATCCTGGTTTTAAAATTTGTTGTCTTTGTATTGTATTAGTTGGCTTCTAAATACAAGTGCTTTATATTTGCCTGATTTTGCTGGATTTTAGAAGGCCAGGCTTTTATAGACAGTAGCTGATAGTCAGTGCACTTTGATGTGTGTAGATTATTTTGTGAGTTGTTATTTATGCCACATAACTCAGAGAATAGTATGTCCTCATACACAAGGTGACTGTGCTGTTAGCACATTTGTAGTAGGTTAAAAATTACTGTGCTTAGTAATAAGAAAGAGTATTTTGAAAGTTTCTCACATATGTATAAAGGGTTGAGACTTACAATATACAAAGTAAGTCACAGTGCATGGCTGCTTTCTGTAAGTTGGATTATAAGCCTTCTTCTGTGGAATATGAGAGTTATATTAGGAAAAATTATTTTCCCTAACTTTAAGACTCTAGACACAACTTTCCTTAGCCATGACCACTAATATGTTAGGGTTTATTCTGAAGATTTTACAACAGAGTACCTTCTCACTTATCACCATTGTTAGTAAATTATATAGATGAGCACTTCTACATAATTTATTCAGTTTCTTCATCATTATTCCTATTTATTATTCTAAATAGGTTGTTTAATAATGTGATCATGTGGCTAGGCATGGTGGCTCATGCCTGTAGTCTTAGCACTCTGGGAGGCCAAGATGGGTGGGTTGTTTGAGCTCACGAGTTCAAGACCAGCCTGAGCAAAAGCGAGACCCCCATCTCTAAAAATAGCTGGGTGTTGTGATATGCGCCTATAGTCCCAGCTACTTAGGGGGCGGAGGCAAGAGAATCACCTGAGCCTAAGAGTTTGAGGTTGCTGTGAGCCCTGATTGCCAGAGCACTCTACTGAGGGTGATGAAGTGAGACTGTGTCTCAAAAAAAAAATGTGATTATGTTATTAAAAAATCTTTTCCATTGAATTTCAGGGATTGTGAATTTTAGGGAGCAAGAATCCAATGTACTTAATTCTAATATGAAGGCTACAGAAAAGCTAAGGGCCAACAATTGGCCCTTAGATGTAATTGTTATTGGTATAAAAATAAATCGTATTGATGTAGCAAGTAAAAAATTAGGTCTGACTTAGTAAACTCAAGAGATTTTTTATAACCATACTTGACTATGTAGATATAGTCCTTTAAAATAGTTACAAATGGGCATTTTTATAAGTAAATAATAATTGTATCCTGTAAGTAGGCTTTTTATAAAATGAATCGCCTCTCAATATGTCCAGTCTACATTTCGTTTACTAGATTAGTTTAATGCATATTCTTTCTCTCCTTTCTTCACAATTTTCCCTCCTTCCCAGGCTTCTCCTTTCCCTCTTTCCTCACCTCCATTGTGCCCTTTCATTGTTTATTAAGTTTATCTTATGTATTAACTCTTTTTATTTTTACAGTTATTCATGTATCCTTGCATAAACATTGCAAAAGATCCTGCAGTTGTCTTAACATGCTATAATTGTATATGTAAAGGTTGTACAGGAAATCAGGCAGTGTTCCATGCTTTTTGCATCATGCTGATTATCTGTCTTGGTTCATTCAGGCTGCTGTGACAGGTACCAGAGACTAGGTGGGTTGTGAACAGCAGAAATTTACTTCTTATTGCTTTGGAGGCTGGACTGTCCAAGATCAAGACATCAGCAGATTCAGTGTCTGGTGAGGGGCCACTTTCCGATTCATAAATGGCACATTTTTGTTGGGGGACTAATCTAAGTAATTCACTGATAGGGGGACTAATCCCAATTATAAAAACTCTGCCCTCATGACTTAATAATCGCCCAGATACTTAATACCATACTCAAATACCATTTGGGAAGGGGAAGTAGCAATTGGTAGAGAAACAGTCCACTTGTTTCATTATGGCAACAATCTCCCCAGACTCCTGGCAGCCTCCCAGTGTTTACTTGGAGACCAGCATGGCAGTCATTATGCTGGAGCTATACTGGAAGCATGCTCCAAAGACCTGTAGAAACTTTGCTGAGTTGGTTCATCGAGGTTACTACAATGGCACCAAATTCTACAGAATCATCAAAGACTTCATGATCCAAGGAGGTGGCCCAACAGGGACAGGTCAAGGTGGTGCATCTATCTATGGCAAACAATTTGAAGATGAACTTCATCCAGAGTTGAAATTCACAGGGGCTGGAATTCTTGCAGTGGCCAGTATAGGGCCAGACACTATCACCAGCCAGTTCTTTGTGACCCTAGCCCCCACCCAGTGGCTTGATGGCAAAAACACTAATTTTGGCTGAATGTGCCGGTGTATAGGAATGGTGACTTGAATGGGAATGGTGGAAACAAACTCCCAGGTCCACCTTGTGGACAGTATGAAGATTATTAGGGCACACCCTTCCGGGTAGACTTGCTGCCTTCTTGGCACATCCAGGTCCTTCTGCGATGGCCCCAGTGAACCAACTTCCAGATGACCTAGAATGACCTATAATGTTAAACTTCATTTTGGCCTTTCAGAACAAAGCTCAGGAAGCCTGGGGTCTTGGGTGAATTAGAGATGGAAGTATATTTTAATAGCATACTTCTTTTCTCTTTTCCCAGCACTTACGTTGACAGAACATTTGCAGAAATGCTCAGACGTGTTTATCTGCAGGTTGCTGTTGACTGCATATGACCCATAATGTACCTCCCGGGTCTGCCCTGATACACCTGGAACAAAATGAAGCAGACTCTGATTTTGTAGTGCCTAACAAAACTTCTTCCTGAGGAGATTTATATTCTGGCTTACACTCAGTCTTGGGTAGCTGACAGCCACAGAATTCAAAACCAGATAGCGTCTGTCAGCCCTTTTAAGCCTGTACACACCCTATTTCAGTCTCTAGGGAATGTATGCATCTCTGCAGACACTTCTAATGATGGCAACTGCTGCTTTGGCAATGTTGACCAAAGTATCTACTTCTATTGCTATGTGCGCCTATTTCAGTTTCTTCCCAAGGTACCACCAGTGTAGCCAGTTTTCTGTGGTGTGCCCCATCCTTTCAGGTCCCCCATAAGCAGAAGTCAAGGGGTGTTAAGTCAGGAAAACATGGGGAAATGCAGCTGCATGTCTTTTATTTATTGTCCAGGCAAGTTCTCAAGGTAAAGTTTGCACGTCTTGGTACCTATAATAATCTTACAAAGAAAACTTTCCATTTAGCTGTTTTAAGAGGGCATCGTATCCTTATTCTGCTAACTTCTGTCTCATATGCACGGTGTTCGGTGGACTTTGTGGGGAATATGTAAACTGTTCCAGCATGACAGCAGAAAAAGCAGGACTTGTTGCTATGTGAGGCCTCCCAGATCTTCCCCGGTGCACATCACACACAGTACCATACATCTCAAATTTATCACGAATGTGTGCAATTGTTAGGCGTTGGGAGGTTCATATTGCATACTCATGCCTCCATTTTCCTGGTACTTCCACCATGTTCTTGAGTTTCAATTACCACTTCAAAATGGTCTTGCACCCCTTGAATAGCAACCGTGCTTCTACCATTTTCTTCGACCATCCTTCCTTGTTGCATGGAGATGCTGGCATGCATTTGATTAGTCTCATCTTTTGAGTGAATGTCGTACTACACATTGTGACTAATTTGAACTTCGAAAAGTAATACATAGATAACATTTTTTAAAATTTGCATACATTTTTGGC